ATCATTGTTGCTTTTGCCTTTTTTCTCCTGATATGAAGTGGCTTCCACCCTAAGGCACATAAAGCAATAGAATGATCTACATCATTGCTCATATTTGAAATAGTTCGAGCAGCTCTGTTTTGGAGCTTTTGTAGTCGTTTAGATTGTATTTCCCCAAATACATCCCAAACTTCAGAACAATAATCGAAGTAGGGACGTACGATGGCATTGCATATGGAGATAAGTATATCTCTTTCAGCAATAAATGGTTTGACACGACGTAGAGCTGAGATTCCTGATGTTATTTTTTTGCAAATACTTTCGGTATTAGGCTTTCAAGATAAATGCTGATCAATTGTTGTTCCCAGAGTTCTGGATTTATTAACTTGCTGGATTTGTTTGTTTTCAATTAAAATATTTGGTTGAGAATTTGAAGCATTTCTTATCATTTGTGGAGAGCCAGTCAACATAAATTCTGTTTTAGCCACATTCAAGCTAAGTTTATTGGCCATTAACCAGTTCCTAAGGTTTTCTAGATCAGAATTTACTGCAATCTCAATGTCAGCTTTGGAGTGACTAGAGGCTGTGAGGTTTGTATCATCAGCGAATAGCCGAGGTCTTGTATTTTTAAGACACTCGGGTAAGTCGTTGATGTACAGCAAGAACAGCAATGGTCCCAAAATAGAACCTTGTGGCACACCACATTTAATCAAGTGTTCTGATGAAACAAAACTTTCTACTTGACACTTTTGGTGTCGATTTGAAAGATATGATTTTAATAGGTCAAGAGCTTGACCTTTTATTCCATAAAATTCCAGCTTTTTCAGTAGAATGTCATGATTGACAGTATCAAATGCTTTCTTTAAATCTATAAAAACCACGAGGTTAAACATTTTTTTATCTATATTCATATACCAGTCATTAGTACAGTCTAAAAGAGCTGTTGCTTAGAGTGAGATTTTCGGAAACCAAATTGGGCACCACTTAGTAGTCCAAATTCAGTTAAATAATTGTAAAGTTGATTGTATAAAATTCGTTCCATTATTTTGCTTATGGTTGGTAATATCGAAATGGGCCTATAGTTTCCAGGTACATTTCGATGGCCACTCTTGTAGAGAGGTATAACTCTTGCCATTTTTCATTCATCAGGAAAGGAGAATAGAGTAATAGCCTGATTAAAAATATATGTCAATGAATCTGCTATGACTAGTGCAGCTATCTTTATAATTTTACATGATATTTTGTCAAGTCCTGTTGCTTTGTTGCTAGATAATCCACTCAGCAACTGATAAACATTATTAACATTAGTAGGTTGGAATGCAGCAAATTCTGATTTAGCTTTTTTGACATAAGTCTCAAAATTACAACTTGATGTGTGAATTTGACTGGCCAGATTTGGTCCAATATTTGAGAAATAGCTGTTAAAGCCCTCTGCAATGTCTTTTGGATTGTTTAGGGTATTTTCTCCTAATTTGAGTTCGTTTACTTTTGAATGTTTGTTTTGTTTACCCAGCAAGTTATTAATTGACTTCCATGCTTTCTTTTGATTGTGTTTTTGATCGGCAATTTTTGAGGAAGAATAATTCTTTTTAGCATTTCTCAGTTCAATATTTACTTGATTTCTAATTTTTTGTAGTTTGACCATCAGTTTCTAACTTGGTGATAATTGCTTTTCTTTTTAATTTGTCTCTCGTACTTATGAGACCCTTAATTTTGTTTGTTATCCAAGGCACTTTACCGGACTTAGTTTTTTTGTGTTGTATTGGAGCATGTTTGTTTAGAACTTCTAGAAAAAGTTCCTTCCATATTTCCCACATAGCATTTGGATCATCACCGACAAAGTATATGTATTCCCAATGTTGATTAAGAAGTTCATCTACAAAATTCTTTTCATTAAAATTTTTCATATTTCTAATTTCAACAAAAACATTAGCCTTTTGAAAAACTCTAATTTTTCTGATTGCATAAACTAGACTGTGGTCACTAATTCCAGTGTGCACGACACCAGAGTGTGAAATTTTCTCAGGTGTATTAGTGACTACATGGTCAATAAGGCTAGATGTTATCATAGTAACACGAGTTGGTTCATTTATCAACTGGGATAATTGGTATAATTCATATAATGAGTTTAGTTTGTTTGTTGGCATATTGAAAAGATCTTTCTCTTCTAACAAGTTGCAATTTAAGTCACCTAAGATGTGCATTTCTTTATTTTCATCATCGATTTGTTTAATAAGTTTTTCCAAATGGTCAAAAAATTCTGCATTTGCATTTGGTGGTGAATAAATTGTAGTGACAATAAATGGTTTACTTTGTGGTTTAGTAATTTCCAAGCAAACAGCCTGGAAATGGGAATGAGATCTGATCTTATTTTGTAATTGATGGAGCTACGGAGGTATATACAAACTCCACCTCCGTTGCGGGATCGATCTTTTCTAACAACGTCATAACCATCTAAATGAATGAGGCCATCAGAAATACTCAGATCTAGTCGTGTCTCGTTGAATGCAATTAAATAAATGTTTTTGCTATACAGGGTGTATAAAAAAAAGCGCAATCCTCGACTGAAATGTAAATTGCTAAACAAATAATAGACGAAAACGTTAAAGTTTACATTCATTTTAAAGCGTAGCCATTCAGCTTTCTAACAGTGGGTTGTTTCTTAAATTTGACTCATTGGTTCGCAGGTAATAATACTTTACGTTATTGCGATTGGAGATTAAAAAAATTGAGATGGAATAACAAATCGTTCTCATGAAAATAACTGATTTTTTCATTAAAATAAAAAAATGTTGCATTTTATTAAATGGATTGTAACAATAAGTATAATTACGGCTTTTCTTCCGCTATTTTTAACTCAGTTTGAAACTTAAAATGCGATATAATTTTGGCTTGGACCATCTAAGCTGCCTGACATCAACTTGCTATAATTTCTGTTTACATTACATCGCAATTCGATGACACTCTGGCTCAAACACCAGAATGTTTTGACGATTTTTAGCATTCGTTTAGGATTTTCAAACAACCTGGTCTCTTTTAAAATACTTTTAATTTGTTCTTACGTGGTTTTCCAGATGTAGTGACGACAACATTAAAGTTTAAAGAAGAAAATTCTAATATTTAAACCGACTAAACAATAACATAGTAAACTTGCATAATTAAACAGCAACTAAAAATGATAGGTTTTACTAAATTTTTTCCTGTACAATTATTACTAGCATTGGAGACAAGGATAATAGTTTGTTTGAAAGAGAAAAGAACAGGCTTTGAAGTAAGCCTAAAAGCGTTTAACTAGAAATAGTATTTCGAAAGTTATTAAGCACAAAAGATGAATTGCGTTTATTTTGATACACCCACACTGAATGACGAATTCATCTATTTTACTAGGTAAAGTAACAATATTTAAAAAGGCCATCTTAAAACCTCTTTCATTGGGAATAGAATTAAGGCTAGTCAAAAGATCGCTACTCACATTTTAATTTAACATATCTATATTAACTAATTTCTCAGTACTTGACTGACAAACATTAGGTATTCTGTCCACTGTGTTGTATGCCGTGCAGTTTGGTGCAGTCTCTTCATCGCAATTCTGCTGGAATTTCTGATGCAATTCCTGTACAGTAGCACCACTGTATGAATGGCAAATGCTTTTCCCTCGTGCCGCTCTTTCAATCTTCTTTTCATTAATATTCTTCACCATGGAGTCTCCAATGACCAGGGTTTTCTCAATTCCTTGTTGGCTTAGGGGTTGGGGGTTCCGTTTTTTCTCTTTACTTACTTTACGTACATATATCACGATGTTGTCGGGTTTTGTGACTAGTGGTTGGTTCAGGGTCGTTGTTGTTCTCATTAATATTTTCAACTGGCAAGCTGGATTCTGTAATGGGATCTTCAACAGCTAGGGCAGCGTATCGGTTATCGGTTTCTATCAATGTTACGGTCTTGGTTGTTGGTTTATTCGGGATTCAACTTGAATTCTTTCGTTTTGTTTATTGTCAAGCAGCGTTCTGATACTTTCGTTTTCCTCCCGTAGCTCGTTCACGGTCGCTGTTAAGCAAGTTATTTCGGCCGCCATTTTGTTATTCTCAGCAACAAGCAAAGATTGCGCTCTTTTCTCACTCTGAGATTTTTTCTCGAGTTTGCTAAGCCGGGACAGAACCATTTCCAATTTTTCTTCTATCTCACGATAACTGTCGACGAAGGTTTCATCCTTTTCGCGTTCGCTATACGTCGGTGAAGGCAAGGGCAATGACATAGCAGCGCAAAGCACGTGCTCGTTCGGATCGATATTTTCTCGGGTCACGTTTGCTTTATTATCATCATGTGCGTTGTTCTTTAATTAAGCGGCTTAAAAGGTCATCATCATGATCCTTCACTATTTCGATCTTTTTCTTTTTGGATCCTTGCCATTTAAAGACGAATTTTCCATCTAACGCGGTAAACATTTTTACATCGCCACCTGGCGATTCCCAATTCCCCGTCAGCTTTAAAACATCGAGCGTAAAGTGTTTTAATTCTTGTATATTTCCCTTCCATATAAGCTGAGGGCCACAAACAACAAGATGACTGTTTTCTATAGATGTTATGTCGCTTTTACTCTCAGATTTTAAGGTGGAATTTGCCAAACAAACGGAGCTCTGAATTTGTTGACAAACAAACCGAGCTCTGAATTTGTTGACAATGAGCATACGAAAGGTATGTTTATGTTTATAATTTGTTAGTCATAATTGCGTAATTTGATCATATACGAGCTCGCTTGACTTTCAAAGCTGATAAATCACTATAGTGTTGCCATTGACTAAAACTATCGCTAGGAATGAGGAGATACCGTTATACTGAATCGAATGGTGGTACTTATGTCCACATAGCATTCAATAAACCGAAGATATGAAACGTCAAAGTCGCATTACAAAACTGTAATGCGATAATACGGTAATGACGAGAAAGAGTTTTAATTAAAATCGAAATATGACCTAAATAAACTCCTTCTCGGCTTGTTTATACTTGAGTTTCAAGATGCTAATCTTCGAAACCTTTGGATTATATTTGTTGTATACTTTTCGAAATGGTTGGCTGGTATTGCTTACTTATTCGTCCAATTTCAATTGTCTTCCTTGATGTACATGTATAACACTCGAACTGTTTTTTTTACCTCTGTACTATCGTTTTTCCTGACCATCTTATAGTGATCTAAGTCATCATTCGCACAACACAAGCATGCTTTGAGCCTCTTGTAACCTGTCTTAAGATTGGGAACCGTCATTTGACCAGAGTTCTTTTCTGGTCCCATATTTATTACATTTAATTATCGGACTAACCTGCAATAAAGGTAGTAAACGCCGCCATGATGACGGCCGAACTCATTTCAGTCATAGAAAATAATACTCTAGACTTCCTGTCATTCTTGTCAACAGCCAATACGTATGCAACACCGTAATGCAATTCGAAGTCGACCGATAAACCCACAGAAAGTGACAACGTAATGGACTCTATAATGTTCAACTTCCATCCCATGAGTATTAGTGAACCAACAGTCACACCTAGGGTACAAGTAATGCTAATAATAGCAAATACGCCGATATATACATTTCCTGTTGTGAGCAGCGCTAGCATCACTCCAAAAGCAATAGCGAGGGCAATACCCATTGATATAAATATTCCTTTCGATAAACTTTTCTGTAGATCGTAGAGGCGTAGCTCACTTATAAACCACCCATTCGCGGATGGCGGCGCTTTGTTAAACTCCGTAAGAGCCCAACTCTCCGTTTCTTTTCAAAAACGGTCTGCTTGATCATATGACCATGTGAATGGTACGTTGCTTTAAAATTTCAAGAGATGGCTCTCAACCGACCATTGGCGTCGAAGAGTGGGCACCATCTGTTACACTTTGAAAACCAAACTGAATCTCCTTGATTCTTTGGCATTGCATATGTATCATGCATTTAGAAAAGATGGTCAAATTATATGGAAATGTTGAATCTTTACAAAAAATTCGGTTGTTTGTCGTGCAATTCATCCTCATGTAGGCAAATAACTCTTCGATGAAACATATTTTGCCTAATTCTTTATCTTTAGGAAAAAATGGTTGCTTTTTCAACCGAGATATAAAGCTAACGATCCACTGTTGGCCCTTTTTGCTAGCTATATCAAAGTCGCTATCCCATTTTAGGCCTCCCATATCGTACGGATCAAACTGATCGCTGGTATCAGTTGCTTTGATACCCCAGACTAAGTTGATCGGAAAACTAGACCTTTTGGTTGTCTCGAAGTGAAAATTATTCTTTAATTTCAATGAGTATTTTTCTAGTATATGCGATTCGTGGAACAGTTGAAAGTCCTGAGACGTAGGAAATTGGATTCCAGGATTTACAGTTGCGACAACTATACCTCCAGTGGCGAGCAGGAAGAAAAATAGCAGCCAAAAATATCTCAATTTCATGACGATACGTGGCAAGAAATCCGTAAAAAATATTCTATGCCACGCCACTAGTTCATCGATTGCTGTCCTCATTCTACAAGTGTCCTTGAATACAGTTTTATGCTATTTCCCCATAAACTCAAAACAGCAATCAAACCGAGAAAATACTGTCTGTTCAATTATAACAGCAGCAGGAAACCACGTCACCATAAGAAAAAGCATGCATAGAATAGAGAGACCCGAATAGAGACCGAACAATCGAATGGATGTAATCTCTGATGTCAGACACACGAAGAACGCTGACGATGTTGTGAAACTCGTTACAAACATTGATAAGGATGCGTGTTTCATTGTGTCTACTGTAACACTGATCAATTGCAGGTCACGCTCTTCTTCGTTTAACGGAGTAGTCTAGGACCTGTATATGAGTTTGTATGCGATTCATTTAGGACAGGTAATCTCAACTGTTTTAGGGTAAAATAACCATGGCGGTCAACATGGAATATGTGCGAAAACCTGAAACCGGGGCGAAAATCCTGAAAATGACCCCGCCCTGAAACGGCAGTGTCGACATAGCTCTAACTTCTGAAAAGGAAAAGCAGTAGCCTTTCTGAAGTGCTTGTAGTGTTTAGAAGGGTTGCCTTTAGGGGTGGTTACTGGAAGGAAAAATTTGTCTCAGTATAATATCTTACAAGAAAATGACCCTGCACCACCACAGGTAAAATGCTGATTATGCACAAAATAACTAATATGCCTGGCAGAAATTCAATTTTCTTATTTCCTAAAAAAAATTATCATGGGATGAAAAACTATGCTTAGTTCAATATAATTTTTGTGGATTTCATAAGGATTGTCATTGTTTTCTTTTAATATAATACATTTTATTTCACTTACCCCCCACGAAAACAGGATTTCAGCCATATTTTGCCGTTTTGTTTGCTTTTTATCGCCGAATCTCGCAAATATCATCCAGTCGTTATACTTTTACTTAATCATAAATGGCTAAAGAGTATTTCACCCAAGTTTCATGGAACAGTGCAGTGTATTTTATCTTCGATATTGTGTCCTTCGATATTTCGTCAAATTGCCGCCATTTTAATGGCTCGCCGCTTCTCTGTTCGATAAATGCCACTTCTCCATTCTCATATGTATTTAGATTACAGTATCCAAGAGTACTTCATTGTAGAATAGTCCCAATCGAAAAGTTGACAAAATTGTCCCATTTGGGACGAAAAACCATCCCGTATACCATTTGGGTTCAAAATAAAAAACAAATCATTTGAAAGTCACGCGCAATCTTCGCGAAAACTTCTCGTGGACACATGTTTTATGATAAAAACAATAAATATTTGCGTAGTTTTGTCATAAATCATAAAAATACAATAAATACAATTATATATTTAGTTGTTTCTATGGTGGCGAACAAACGTTTCGTGGAAATATGCACCCCCCCCCCCC